TCCATTTTGGGAGGTTTAATGGAGAAATTGAAAGCAAACTAAATCAAATTTGACTCAACATTATAAACATAATGACTGTTGTTTTATTGTCAGTTCTGCAGAGTGCTGGTTTCTAAAGTGTGGGTCCTAATAGCTTGGCCTGACAGCAGTGTTAATGTTTCTCCCTCACTACTCTCTTTTCTTTTTTCTCTTACATGGGATTCACCCTGTCAATTACTGAAAGAAGCAATACAAAGAGGAATTTAAATTTAACATAATGAGAGATAATTGTTTAAATTAGCTTCTGGTGAAGGACTTTACGGCAAATATAAAAATCCATCACTATTAGCAAGGAGTTGCAGATCATTTTGCATGGACCTCTCAGAGATTGGATTTGTATTCATGGTTTTCCTAAACAACAGTTTAAATCCAATCAGACAGAGTTGCAGTGAGTCAAGTGACATGCCCTGTGGGCAGCAACCCAGCACACATGCTGGCATCTTTTCATTTTCTGTGGTTACTGTTTATTAAATAAATTAATGACCAGTGTTGTGACATTGTAGCATGTGAAAACAAATCCTTCAGAAGTATTCAAGTGCTTTCCCCTTATAAAAACATTGAATACATTTTCCAAATCTGAGTGGGAACACTGCTCCTTCCCGACTTTTACTTCCGAACAGCATTGCTGTGCCGCTAAATGTTTGTACCTCTTATACTAGCTGTGGCTGTTGCTTTGCCGATTTAATTATTTATTTTTTTACATCAGTATTAGCCATTGTAAATTCCCATAACAGAGGATTTCTCATAGTTAACTTCCTAAGATTTTCCCAAATGCCAGATAGCCAGTCCATCTCTGTTCTGAAGGTTTATAGTCTGAGCTTAGATCTGTCTTCAGAACAGAAAGGAAGAGTCAGACTCCTGTTCACCACTAAGAGATTAACAATTAGTTTGCCCAAACATTTAAGGAGCAGAGCTGATCTCAGCTGAGCAGTGGCCCTCAAATTAAAGGTCTGCCGAGCACAGTTGTCTAATAAAGAGGATTAATTAAATTTTTACATTAATGTAATCACATTTCTACAGACAGCCAATTTCTCTTTTATGTATCCAACCTTGTGCTGCCTTTAGATAAATTATTTATCTTATACTGTATCCATTATTGTCTCATCTCTGTGTCCTGTCCATGGCCATGTTTGTGTCACAGTGCATAAATGATAAATGCCAACATTTGTCATTTGTGCACTGTAAAAGGAGCTCATTGGATTTCATTCTCCATGTCCTTCAAGTTAAATGGATGCTGTCTGGCTTAGTTAATAGGGTATATTTATCAGTGTGAGTGGTCACAGTGGTCCTCTAATTTAGGACTTTAACTGGGCTGTACTGCTCCTTAAAGTCCATATTTATGAAGCCAGGTGCACCAGGACATTCTGCCCAGTGACAAATTGGTTTGTATGCAAAAGGAGCCCTTTGTTCCTATTGTTGGTGAATTCACAACATGAACATACAACACAAGACTCATAATAACATGAATTTTCCAGGTTCTGTACATGAAACGCTGAACAGTGCATGTGAGTCCCTGGCTGTGTAGCTGTTGGCTTTGAGGAGAGTCATAACACGGCTGTTTCTTATCTCATCTAACGGCGTAAATTAAGGATTTCTTTAAACCATACCAGAGTTGGGAATTGCTAGATAGGTGGAAAGCCAAAAAAGAAGATGTGTGAATGAAGTGTTTAACATGATCTGTGAGGTAAAATTATAGTTTTTTCAACATAATCTGTTGGTAAGCGAGTTATAAGAAAGGCAGGCGCATTTGTTCACAATTACATTGAACCATTGCAGCCCATTTATGGCTGTTGGCTGGGGGGTAGAGCCAGCATATTTCGATGAATTAAGGATTTATTTTACATACTAAATCAGAGGTGGTGCTTGTTGGAACAGTGGAAAGATGGTTTTGGTCAGTTTTATTTTGTTTCTGTCCAGTTTGAATGATGTGTGTTTTATGATGATCTGTAAAATTACTGTAATTAAAATTGTTGTTTTTCTCAATGGAGTCTGGTGGGCGATCGCACCCATTTGCTTTGGTCTAAGATGCTGGTGCTCCAGTGTGACATTTATTGGCAGAAGAACACTTTATTTAAGGAGAATTTTATGAATGAAAGACCTTTTTAACAGATGTAATTGGGAAGGCTGAACACAATACAGAAAATAGAAAAAAGAAATAAAAAGAGAAAACGAAAATGGAGGAAAATGCAAATTAGTTGCTGATTTTCCTGAGTTCCTGTGAGAAAGACATGACAGTGAGTATTTTAAGTTGCATTTTACTTCTGACATTTTTATTAGAATTTTAATTATTAAATTAATTTAATGTTATAACTGTGTGATTGCTATAAAAATACATACATTTTTCCCACCATTTTAGTAAACTTTTTTTTTTTTTTTTTACATATTTATTTCAACCAATATTTATCAAACCTGGAACATACAATCTTTAGATGTACCGAACAAATGAGTTGGTTTTTAGATGTCACTTAGCATTTGTCTATGATTGATAAAATCCTTTGAAGGCATGACCTGATTCACTAAATGGGCCATAACTCTTCGATCCTAAATTGGATAGCAACTAAATTTGGGAATGTTGTACATGCAGCCACATTGCACACTGTGTAATTAACTTTGCCTTAATGCTATCATTAAAATACTTACAAACTCAAAAAAGTGCACCTATTTCCTTTTTGCTCACCGGGGAAAAAAAGCTCGCTCGCTCTCTCTCTCTCTCTCAATTTATAGTCAGAGCACCTGAACTCTTCCGTCAGGCTTCTTTTATTGAGGACTTGGCATGATGACTGGCCACCGTCAGACCTGTTCCACCAATGAGCAGCAAGGCCAGACTGCACAGGTGGAAGCAAATCATCCCGTTAGCACCTGAACAGAAGGGAAACACAGGGGAGGGGGAGAAACAGAAAGCGGGAAGAAAACAAATTGCCTTTGTGGCATGTAAAATCACTGCTGAACTGTAAGAACTGCAAACATTTAACCATAAAGCTGTCAAACACGCCTTTGTTATTTCTGACACAACTCCAAAACTTCTTCTCTCAACCTACATGTTTCTTTGTCTTTCTTGATACAAATATCAAGTGTTAATAAGAAAAGACAATTGGATTGAAAGTATCTGAAATATTGAATGGCTTCATGAAGCCCATTCAATATTTAATATACTCTCAGATCTCTCAATCAAAGAGAGCCAGTTTAAAGTAAACATACACTTTTATGCTAAATATGA